TTGCACACCTTCACTATTCACTCCACCATCAACGACGCTGCACACCTTCGCTCTTCACTCCACCATCAACGACGCTGCACACCTTCGCTATTCATTCCACCGTCCACAACACTGCACACCTTCCTATTCACTCCACAGTCCACAACACTGCACACCTTCACTATTCACTCCACTATCCACAACACTGCACACCTTCGCTATTCACTCCACCGTCCACAACACTGCACACCTTCACTATTCACTCCACCATCAACGACGCTGCACACCTTCGCTCTTCATTCCACCGTCCACAACACTGAACACCTTCGCTATTCACTCCACAGTCCACAACACTGCACACCTTCACTATTCACTCCACTATCCACAACACTACACACCTTCACTATTCACTCCACCGTCCACAACACTGCACACCTTCGCTATTCACTCCACCGTCCACAACACTGCACACCTTCGCTATTCACTCCACCGTCCACAACACTGCACACCTTCACTATTCACTCCACCGTCCACATCACTGTCTAATGATGAGTAAGACACATGTGCAACGATTGGGTGTCTTTATTGTTGAAACGTTTCGCTTATATGGTGGGGTTGTTTAGTCAAATACAGACGAGAATGCATATGAAAACAGCAATAGTGGTGGTGAGACAAAGATAATGTGATCAGTCCATCAACCTTAAATAGGTAGTTTTCGAGGTGGTCAGTTCCTCAGAAGTGAGAAGAGTTCGGCTCCATAGTCAGGAGCTGAATGCTTCTCCAGGCTGAAGGACTGACCATCTCAAAAATTACTTCAGTTCTGAGGGACTAACAACATTTTTACTTCGCCACTACCCCTGTTGTCTCCATATTTATTATCTGTATGTGACTGAAGAAGCCTACAATATAAGCGGAAGGTGATTCAACAGTGAAGATACCCAACTGTTGCACATGTCTAACTCCTCTATTTGTCAGTATTCTATACCATTTTCATAATCATACACTGTTAATAACACACAATATTAACACACAATACACTTTATTCTTGCAACACCTGAGGGTAACTGCACTTAAACGAGCTTATATTTACATGCTTTCATTCACCCATATCTACCGACTCGCGCCATTATACTAAAAGACTCATCATAGCCACATCAAGTTCACCCTATCTCTCATCTTCAGTAAATCCCACACCAGTAACTTGTTATTTCCCACAACGTCACCCCCCCCCTACACACACACACATCCTGTCACCTCTTCCCTCATCTCCCACACCCGGGATTCCATATTACGAGCCCAACACATCAAGAACCTCTTATTTCCATGTCTCTCACTCCTACATCTCCACCCCTCTCCACATCTTAAGCCTTCTCCCAAACCTCCATACCCACATCCCAAGCGCAACATCCAAACCCACATCCCAAACGCAACATCCAAACCCACATCAAAAACACATCCAAATCCCAAGTATATCCCGACCCCTCACCACGTCCACAGCCACTCACACAACCTCTTCCCTCATCCCCCACACCCGGAACTCCCCAAACACCAAGAACTTCGTATCCCCTCCCAGCTATGTTCTGCCCTTCTCCCCAAGCCCCGCTGGTAGGAGACAGGCCAGCCATAATGGCAATGTGTAAGCTTCTGCCTAAGCCAACAAATTGACCATAAAGCCTGAGAAGCTGCCGCTAATTCTCCAACTTTGCCATCAAGTCCTGTTTTGTGGACCGTAAAATTTTCCGACACTGGACTTTAGACCTGCAGGTCTTAACCAATTCTGGTGGAATTTTGCGTATAAATCTTATTTCTTGAACTCTTGGAAGTGAAATTTTCACTTCTAGAACACATGGCTAAAAGAGAGTATCTCTTCTTTCTACGTGTCCAAATTCTAGGAAGTCGCAACTCAGCAACGAGGAGTGTGCGTACGGATACTAACGCTTCTGCTACAATTGCATTTTACGAGAAAAAGTAAGCTAAATCATATTATATTTCAAGTAGTAAACCTTAACTGTTTTTACAATGATTTATATGTATATTTTAGCAAAAACTTGAGATATGCCAGAAAAATGCTTCATACTGCATTGATTCCTCGAAATACGTAATAAAATCATGTTTCCCGGTTAATGGGGTTTAAATTGAGAAAATACGTCCTTCCTCCCAGAATACAAAACTGAGTACATACGTCCTCCTTCCAGACAAAATCATACAATTGGAGCCTATACGCTCTTAAAACGAAAAACAAATCAGGTAGCAACTTCGCACTGATACTCGTGAGCTTTGTTCTGTACCAGCAAATGGAGCATCAAACTTTTGTCAAACTTTGCACTTACTGACACACACACACTGATGTAGCACTTAGAGCATAATTCATTAACAGTAATTAAGCATCCCAATTTTCTCCTAAGGAAAAACATAGCAATAATATTTTACTTTCTCTTTACAGAAATAATGCTCGAGTTCTTTTATAAAGAGAAACAGAGAGAAACTACGCACTTTCATTCCTCCAAAACATTAGAAACGT